CCTAACCTATTTCGTAACCGTTTAAAAGATTTGATAAGACTAATGATAATAATGATCGTGTTTAAAAGATTTGATGTTCCATTATTACCCTTTTAATTTTATTTTTTTTTAAATCTTTTTAAATTTTAATTTTAATTTTAATTTAAAAAATCTTTTAATTTTATTTTTTATCACAATATGAGGTTACTGGGTTGTTCTTGCGTTCTCGTAAATCACAGGGGTTCTCGTTTGAACCCTTCCCTATATATATATATATATATATATATATATAAAAGTGTGATTAGAAGCAATGTTGTTTTTTGTCAGTAATGTGAACCATACATAACTTGACCTCAAAACGATACGGTCATTATCAAGATATCGAACCAAAATGATATGCAACATTGCCTTTGACACGTCTAAACCCAGCTGTGTTCACCAAATAAATCATACATGATGGTTTCTTCTTACTTTTTGAGTAACCTTTATTTAAACTTTTATACTGATTTCATTTATTTTTCAGTTTCATGGGTCCATGGTCATATAGGAATCTCGAGATGGCATAATTTGTTAGGATTTAATATCAAACGACCTCGAGTCTTAATGTTAATTAAATGATATCACAATCCACAAAACAACAATATATTACATGGATATTATCAACAAATGTATGTTAACAACTGGAATAATAGATACAGATACAACGATAATGATCACTACAACCCAAACAAAATAATAGCAATATAAATCCAACTACAACACATAATTTAACGTGATTTCATTATGGCCTTGTTTGTTTGTTTATAAATATCTCTTATCAAGCCTCTTATGTCTTATTCGTTAAGAGATAGGGTTTGAATGACTGTTTGGATTTTTCAATTTTTCAGAGGCATTTATGTCTTATTATCATCTTATATATTAAGAGATAAACCAAGCTCTTGTTTGTCTCATTGTTCTCCAGACGATCGGCAACGGCAATCAGTCAATTAACCTTAATATATCATTACAAATTCGATCTTTACCTATCCTCAATTGATGTATTTTAATATTGTTAGTGGCATACTTTCGTCTAACTGAATGCTAATTATATAATTTAAATCTAAATTTCGTAATGATGATGAATAAATATGTGAAATTATATACTTTTATTTATAAATTCAACACTGTAATATTCTAATTGGTAAAATAGACAATTGAAACAATTTCAGACATTTATCAGTTCACAAAAACAAAATTTTATTCATGTAAATCTGCTTGATTTAGATCAGGGAAATGGTGTGATTTTATGAAACCATGTGTTATGGCTCGAATTTGTTCTCAATGCTCTAATGCCCACATCGGATATGGACCGAACTGTCTCACGACATTCTGAACCCAGCTCACATACCGCTTTAATGGCTTAACAGCCCAAACCCTTGGAAGTGAAACAACCCGGAATACCAGCTAAGACCCCTAAATGACCCTCAGTGATAAAGGAAGTCTTACAAGTGTCACTATCATCTTCAAAAGAATCATGTCCAAGAATAGCACCAATTTGGCCAACAGCCAATCATCAAAAAGTGCCTTTACTGGCATCCAAACACTCCGCTCAAGACTTTGGAGCCTCACCGCTAAGAGAACATGATATACATGTCATATGAGAAAAAAAAATGTTAGACTCAACGCCTAGTGAGAATAAACAGTTATTGAATAAAGCTATAAAACATTAAACTGAAAGCATAGCTTTAATCAAGTCATTTATATAATTAAACCATATTTACCCATGGAATGATGTAAAATACCATAAGATGATGGGGGAGTCTCAATTTATCATGGGTTGTGATGGAATACATAAGTAAATCACACTTCAATGTTATATAGCATCATTTATGGATAAATAAACATTAACATCAACCTTATTCGGGTCTTTATGGAACTAAAATACATTATTTTAACATGTATATAGTTTGATAAAAATGTAGGATGAACTCACAAGTTAGGTTTTGAAGAAAACCTAAAATCCTAGTAAAATGGGGAGAAGGATGTGAAGATCTTGATTCCTTAACTCAAATTCTTGAACCTTGATGATTACTTCCAATAAATGCTTCTTGAATGCACCCAAAATCGGACCTAGGGTTTTTTAGGAATTTTAAATGAAGCGAGAGAGAGAGAGAGAGAGAGAGAGAGAGAGAGAGAGTGGCGTGGAGTAAATGAGGAGAACAAACCAACTTTCTTGACTTAAATGACCTGCACACAAAGCGCGACCCTAGGGTTGCGGGGTTGCGGCACAAGGGTCGCCTATGTCCCCACTTCAACCTAAGGTACGGGAAATGCAACCCTAGCCTTGCAATGCAAGGGTCATGGTCACGAGGGTTGTAGGGCCCCAAATCCCTTGCTTACGGTACACTAAGTGCGACCCTGACCATGCAACCACAAGGGTCGCATGACCCAAGATGTTTCCTAGAAAAACCTTCTTCATACATGTTCTAAAGGCTAAAACTCTAGGCTTAAACCCAACAATATACAATTTAGACATACAATTCTAAATACAAGCGTAACCCCAAATAAGACCTGATTAGAATCTAAATACTTGCATTACAAAATTTTGGGTGTTACACAAACCCAAGTAGAAAGTGTTACCATACAAATATAATCAATAATCTCAAAATCATTAAAAAAACTTGCTAAATACGAAAATATAAATACAGTCAATCATGAATAAGCCTTAATTGTCTTTTTTCATCAGCCAGATGTGTGCATATGACTTCACAAGTCACATCGCCCTTTTCTTTGAATTTAAACTTCTGAGCTGTCCCACAACTTGACACGTGACTTGCCTAGTCGCCAAAACTGTGCCCTAATATCTGTAAGCCTCACATATGACATCAATGCGACCTCGAACATCCCTTGCCAAAGTCGTTATAGCTTTGTTGTGCAACTTCCAAGTTGCATGAAAGTCACAAGCTTGTATCGAGAAGTTTTTCTTTGTAGAAACGACTTCCGCATACAATTTTCCTGGTCACCCAGAAGATGCATACACTTACATAAATCCATTTTACAAATTACAATATAAACTAACCTTTCATTAAAGGATTTCCGCACACCTTCGTAACTCAACATTTGCTATGTTAAAGCAATATAGTGCAAACTTGACAACATTCTCCTAGAGTTTGGTTAATTCATAACAGTTCGAGTATGCCCCTTAAAGTTACGAGTTTTTTTTTGTCAATATGTGAGAAAAAAAATAACGGGAACACCTGCAATTTGTGCGTGATTGATCATATGGTTCTTACATATAATGATGTCTTGTACGATTATGCTTTTAAGATCTTTAGAAAACATTTTCCGTATGATTTTCAAAAGTTAGTGTGGAAAGGAAAGTATAAACTAGGTATATGCCTTATCGAAGCCCTCTCCATCATCGCGGATATTATTTCCATGTAGACGCGTTGACAATAACCGAAAATCTACAATGCATTTTTTAGCCCAACTAACGTATTAGTGTTCCGGCCCATGTTTTATGCTCGAACTTCAACTAGTTAATATGTGAAGCAAACAACTATTTGTTAGTTCTCAGTTGTCTTTTTTTACCATAAAAACCGCACTTGTTATTTTTTTTTTGGCATTGTTCAACAAAATATAACTTCAACCTCAGTTTCAATTATCATCAGGTGCATAGGAGGTTTTTTGTCAGTTCCAACACTATGTGACGGTTGGCGTAGATCGCTTGAATCAATAGCGCTTTTACGTTGACTATACTAATCTCAAAATAATCAACGTAGTTGAAAAACTAATTTATCATTAATGCCGATCCCTGTAATTTTGAGAGATCAGACATAGGTTCATTAAACCGACAATCACCTGATGAAAACAATTAAAGACGACACAAATCAAGACGACAATTGACATAACTATCGGTTAACGATAATTTATTAGCAGTAAAAATTGGAATTAAACAAAAAGAAAAACAATCGTTATCTCATAATTTAATTGGTCGAAAAAATACGGAAAAAGATGGTTGGCATGTCTTCAAATGGTGGGGTGTATATGTAGCATTGGAGGCCATGGTCCTTTAATGCTAGAAACAAACTTCAATTCGCGATCAATATTTTCGCCATTGCCATTTCAGCTCTCACTCATCAGGTGATTCCCGCAAAAAAACCACGAAACCTACCTCCCTGAGAAAGTAGTTAATTTCTTCCATTGATTGGTCGTCAATTGATCAAGTGAGTCGATGTCGTTCTCGTTCTTCAAGGCCTTAAGGCCTAAAACCCCACAAGAACTCGCCAGAGCAATCAAAGACAGCCTCATGGCTCTCGACACCAAAACCGTTGTTGAGGTGAAGACACTCGAGAAGGTTTGTACTGATATTGTGGAAAATTTTCTTCCTTTGATTTGGAGATGGTGCAATGTAACTGTTCAATTTTGGAATTTGTTGGTGAATTGAACTTGTATGCAATTAGAAATAGGATTGGTGATCTTGGTTGAATTTTACAAAACGTTTAGGTGTGTTTCCCTAAGTCACTCACATTTGGTCTGTACTAGTTTTATAATACGAATAGGAAGAAGGGTCATGTGGAGTTTAGGAGGAATATAGGGAAATTTGCCCCTTGGAAAGGAAAAAGCTCTTCCTGGAATGGATACGTATCCATACATTTAACATATGTTTACATATATACATATGCATCTGAAAATGTTACTCCACAGGTTCCGAAAACAGGAGCTAAACTATCCTTTTCTGGAAAAGACTAAAATTTCTATTTCAAAAGCTAGGTTGGGGGATAGCAGCTGCAGCAGAAGCCCCCTCTCCCATTTTTTTTTTGTGTTTAAAAACTTTTGTTATAAAATCATAAATTAAATAACTTTCTCCCTTTCGAGAAAAGTTTATAAATTTTGTTTTGTAGATTTATAGGTTCTACTAATAAAATTACCCTTCAATAAGCGAAGGCTTAGTAGATTTTCTGGCCCTGTTGCTGGATAAACCCTTTAATAAGCAAAGGCCACACATTTGTTAATGGGCACAATTAGGTTCGAGTAGATCATGCGGTATAACTTGTAATGAATATATAATTTCTATAACAATGGTTTGACTATTCAGACTAAGCTAAGCCTTAAGGATTTCCTTGTCATTGTAGTAGGCTTATTGGCATCCATAATAGATTTCTCTAATAATACCTCCGCTTAAATTAACAAGCCTTTATCTATGTAATCTGCATTGGAACACTCATTTATTTGGATACATAGGGAGCAATACTTTCCAAGACTAATATACAAATACATTCGTCAATACAGGCATTGGAAGAAGTGGAGAAGAATTTTGGTGCAATGAAAGTTATGCTTTTAGGAGATGGGGAGGTTGAACCAAACGTTGATCAAATTATACAATTGACTGTAGAAATTTGTAAAGAGGATGTAGTTGCTCTTTTCTTTCACAAGTTATCAATACTTGGGTGGGAGGTGAGCGATTATGATACTGCCGTCTCATGTATTCAGCTTTTGTATGTGTTAACACACGATGACATTGTGCTTTTACTTAGGCAAGAAAAGATCTAGTCCAATGTTGGTCCATACTATTGAAGCAAAAGGTTGGATCAACTTACTGTTGTGTGCAATTCCTGGAGAACCATTCGGATTTACTAGACTTTCTGGTTGCAGGGTAGGTGAATTGGTATTCAATTTCTAATCACTAATTTATTATCTTATGCATGTTGGAAGACATCGGTTGTTACTTGATATAATTTTTATTGGTTACCTTCCCTCGCCTTCCATCAAAGTATAGAATTGTGTGTATCCTTGTTATCTATTACAACATGAACCTTCACCAAATTGTACTTATTGCCTACCTATAATTTACACCATGCACCTAATGCTGAATAGTTTTATGCAATTGCTACACTCACATTCAATTGTAGTTGATCATAGGACTAAGGCACTTTCTCAACCCAATCAGGATGAGGGATGACATAGATTCTTGGAGATTTAGGACTTATTGGTGCATGCATGCTCTTCTGTTAAGTTGCTGCATGCCAAGATGTCCTGAGGAGTGCATTTTCTTTCCCTTATGGCCAGACAACACCTTCTGTAAGTTACAAAAGTGGATGAGTTGATCTTGGCAGGCCAATGAGGGTCTCAATGGTAGGATATTTACCATTGGACGACTAGTTGTATGAATCTCTGCATATCAGTCTACATGTGCAAAAGGTCTTGTCATGATGTGAACGAGTCAAATTACTTCTCTCTGTCTTCTTGGGTAGCTCAAGGAATGAACTGTTAGCTTATGCATTTATAGCACAAGACTTGGTAAGTGAATATAGAAGATTGTGTTGTTAATGTTTTCCTGGTCAAGTAAGGCTTTGAGTTATGTGTATGGGTGAAAGAAGTTTGTGCAATATTATATTACCCGGATATGGCTATTCATGCATTCTTCCTTCTAGCATCTGTCTTCTTATGCTTCTTCGTCATGGTTAAATTCCAAGGAGTTGTTATATATGACTAGTTATTTGCGTGGTTCAAGAAGCTTACTTTCTGAATATGAACAGTTATGATAACAAGGAGATCGCCTTAAATTGTGGAAACATGTTGAGGGAATGCATCAAGTTCCCGACTCTTGCAAAGTAAGACATTTATGCTGCTTACCCTATATCTGGTCTATCATTTTGTAGATATCGGAATAACAATACCATACGATTGACATTAGAGGTTGATTGTGGCTGACATTTGTTCTGCAATCTAATTGCAACATATATCTGTTCCAATGACTACTGTAATACTTCCTAAGATGGCATGCAAAGGAACTTCCAAGCAGGGAGAATGCTTATTTATATTTGATTAATTATGTTCTGATTTAAAGGATATGTGAGATTATATATCTCCTGTAAGATTAATTCATAATGGTTGAATTAAGGATCTGCAGATTATTTTAATTATTCCTGAGTGTGGCTACCAAATTATGCACCTAACAATGAGGTTCGCATAAAAACTACTGTAAATGCAATAAGTTGACTGAAACTAGTGTAGTCAACCTCCCAGGTCTATATTGTAAGTTGTAGCCTCTGTAAGAAGTTTAGACAGCTGAAAGTGGTAGGCATTGTGCTTCTCACTGTTTTGAATACTCGTATCCGTTACTTGGGTGCAATTCATTGGGGGATATGGTGGGGTCTTCAAGTGTTGATTGTATCCTCAAACTGATGACCAAATATACAAGGGGATGCATGGTTGGGGATATGGGAAGGGCAATTTTCTTAATTTAGAAAATAGAGATGAAAGATCACAAATTGTATAAAAGTTTAAATTATT